AGCAACACAATTCACAATAGCTAAATTGTGGATCCAACCTAGATACCCTTCAGTAGATGAATGGATAAAGAGAATGCAGTATACATACGCAATGGAATATTACTGAGCATTAAAAGAGAATAAAATCACGGCATTTGTAGGTAAATGGATGGAGTTGGAGGATATAATGCTAAGTGAAGTAAGCCAATTCCCCCAAAAAACAAATGCCAAATGTCCTCTCTGATATAAGGATGCTGATTCATAATGGGGATGGAGTGGGGAGCCTGCGAGGAATAGATTAACTTTAAATGGGGCAAAGGGGAAGGAGGGTTGAGGGGTATGGAGATAGGAAAGTCAGTGGAATGAGGACATCATTACCCTAAGTACATGTATGAAAATAAAACAAAAAGCAGGTAAAAGAATCAAAAGAAATGAAGACATAATCAATAAGTCTTTTTTATTCTGCAGAGAATTCTACTTTCATTTCCTTTTGTATCAGTGTTGTCTGCTAAAATAAAATTTTCTAGATTTTTGAAAAAAAATAAGGGATCTTAGATTCTTCCTTTATAAATTTTCTTAGATTTCTTTTTGTTGATGTTTTATATTTCCTGATTTTAATTATGCCTGAACTACACACTATATTAATTTTAAAATACATAAATACCTTCCCTTATAGTGTGTTCTATAAACTGTTGCCAAAATAATTATTGTAAAATATATCTCATACCCAAGAGACTCTTGTAGTGCAAATATTTTTGACAGGATAGCATTGGAACATCTTAGCCATGGTTTCAAGAACTCCTTATAATTTAATTCCAGCTGACTGTATCTTTCATTATTTCTCTCCTTATCTCTTTTCTAATCCAGGTAGCTTGGTTTTCTTAACAAGACTACCTGTTCTATCAATTTTCATATAAAAAAAATCTGGGATGCCCCTCCTCTTGCCCCTCACATTCTGTTGTCATGTACAGAATGTGAATTCCTATGTTTCTCTATCCTCAGTGTAATGGAGTTTCTCCATGACTCAGCTGGAAATAATTTATCTAGCCTCTGAATTACACATGCTCCATCACACAGTTGACASTTATACTTCCTTAAACTGAAGTTGGTATCACATGTCTTAGCTCCACAGTGTATAGAAAATTATGGCATTTAGAGTTTTCAGAGTGGAGAGAGAGTTCAGAATACAATGACTCTATCCATTAGTAAACATATTCGTTGAATGAAGTTATTAGATGAATGAACAATCAATCAAGACGGACATTAGAAGCATGTGAGTAAAAAAGAAATACACACATACTGACTGGGTCATTTGGTTGCCTGATGGGAGGTGCATTAGATTACAGGCATTTGAAAAGGAGATGAAAAATTGGGAATTGTGATAGGTTTAAGTTTAGTGACATCACTGGAAACTATCAGAGTGTTATTTCAGTATAGAGACAAATGAAATTCAGAAGAATGGGATGTTGTCATCTGCTGTCTTAGCCAAATGAAATAGAGTCCCAACAGCTGAGCAGAACTGGGGATAACAAGGCAAGGAAACCAAGTCTTGAAGTTAAATTTGGTTTGCATGTGTGCATGTGTTTTTGCAAGTAGGTTTGATTTTGTCACATCTCAGGGAAAAGTTGGCATTTGAACTGAATAATCCGATTTGTGATAACATACTGTCCATCTCTGTGTCCAAGTGGGCTGCATAATGAACTCTGAAATTTCCTCTTCCTCTCTATATAAAGGTAATTTCTAGGATGATGAAGTAATTAGTGTAGATGAGGTTTTTTTTTTTTTTTTGAGAAGTAGGAATAATCAAGTTTTCTACAAGGAATTCATTCCAAGGCCAAACAGATTTAGAATCATGACAGTGGTCATTCACAATAACCATACACAATCCCCAATTTCTAATTGAGTGGAATGAGCAGGAAGAGGCTCTCTTCTTTGAGAACTAACTACTTGTCCTCAGCAAATTCTGTAACCAACATSCTCAGTTACAGAAAAACTACCTCTCGTGGACTTTAAAACTTAAACTGTATTCTGTCAATCTGATTAAAATTGCATTCTTACTCTTGCAGCTGCGTGTCTTCAGGCAAATTTTTAAATCTCTCTGGACTCCAGTTAACTCACARCTAATGAGGATAATTAATAATCCTTAAATCATACAGAAGGATTAGAAGGAAGGATACACTGGCACAGTGACTAAGTTGCAAGTGCTCAAAAATAATGTTTTTCTTCTTCCTTTCCTAGCCACCCAAATAAACAAGGGAACTCAAAGAGCAGATGAAGTATCAAAGTTCTAAGAAAACTATGAATTTGTATTGTGTTTTTCCTCTTAAAGAATACCAAATGTGCAATATAACTTTGCTTTTTTAATTGGGATAAAAGGTTTTTTCTGATGTTTYCAATTTCACATAATTACTAAGAAATCTGGACTAAACAGATGTATCTTTGTTGCTAGTGCATATTATTTCCAGAAGCCACTTCTTTATCCAAACCCCAATCTTCACACATATGTTTTCATTCTTCTCTAGCTAAGGGTAATCAGGCAAATGGTCTATTTTTAATCAACAGRTAATATTTTTGAGATAGAATTTTGTTTTTCCAAAGCTTCTAAAAACCACYGATTACTTCAATTTGTCTTTACTAAGTTTTCTTATATGAAGTGTACTTACCAACTAAGCATTGACTAATTCTAAAAGCTAAACTGATACATATTTCAAAGCAGCTGTTCATAGAATAATCTCCTACCTTTATCCTTGGTTTCACATAGTGATAAACTGAGGTCTGGAAATATTGAAAGGAAAWTTTCAGAAACAAACTATCCATGAGTTCTAATTTGTGCATCATTCTGAGTAGTGTGGTAAAACCTTGCACTATTCTTTTCCATTAGGATGTAAAATATTTCCTTGTCCAGAGTATCCATGTTATATATACTACCTGCCTCTTAATCACTTAGTAGTCATCTTGATTATTAAATCCACAGTCTCAAGTAACCCTTATAGTTACCTAACAGTACCTCACAATGCCTACATTTTTCACCTTATTTATCACATCACATAGGCATTGTTTTTTCAATGCCTATGCGATGTGATAAGAAGTATGAATACAGTACAATTAGATATTTTAAGAGAGACCATATTCATATAGTTTAAATTATAGTATGATGCTATCACTATCTTATTTTATTATCAGTTACCGTTAATTTCTTACTGTACCTCATTTATGAATTAAACTTTATCATAGGTATGTACACATAGGAAAATACATAGTTTTTATAGAGCTTAATACTTTCAGGTATCCCCTGAAACACCTCCCCTGTGAGTAAGTGGGAATACATTATTTAAAAAATGTTTTGTTGTTTAATTCAACATTTTTATCCTAAACTTTTTGTAGCTTAAGGCTTTTTAGATATTAAATATCATATTTGGTCACAGTTTTCAAAAGGATAGTAGTAATGATAATGAGGAGCCATATGAGGTCATTTTAAATCAGTTAAAATCTCTCTCTATAAATATATATATATAATATTTTCTTATACATATATAAAATATTTTCACATATATATAAAATATATCTCCAATGTTTTAGAAAAATGAGATTTACTCCAAAGCATTTTATTTTCATTTATAAAATATGTAGGAAAGAGTATATTGGATAATTATTTTATAGGTAAATATTTATTAAAGTTAGTATTTACTGGATTACATTATATAAAACTCATAAAAAGAAAAATTAAAATCAAACTAAAGGCCACTGTCCAGAAAACAAGTCAAAATAACAACTCATATGAAGCATGCCTTGATTATAAGATTTCAGTAGTACAGAAAAGCATAATATGGAAAAGACACCTCCATCCATCCAACTTCCTATCCCAAATATCCTCACTTCAGTGGTAACAATTATCCTGATTCCTCTAGAAAATATTTCAGAATGGAGTGTATTTATTTATAAATACAATCCTCTTTTATGCACACAAGAGATGTATTGAATAGTCTACCAATCCCAGTAGCAAACATTACCCAGTTTTCACTTTGATAGATTTCTCAACCTGTGAAATCATGTCACGTCAGAAAGCACACATGCACCCTACATTTACAGGGGTAGGAGGTAAGATTAGGAAGTAATTTGGTTAGCAGAAAACATTAGTAACCTCCCAGTACCATTGAATTTACCCCTGGGTAAAACGAGTTGCTACTTCTAGGAACCTGAGAAAATGTTACTATCATGATGTCATTTGTTTTAAGAATTGATGACTATATTTAGCAGGAAAAACAAACAAACAACAACAACAAAAACCCACCTCTTTGCCAGAATCTCTTTTTTTCAGTTAATACAATTTGAATATGCTGTGGCAGTTTTTAAAAGAAATTCAAACAAACTGGCTGATCCTCCCAGGATGAGGTAAAGTGCATTTTGTGAAGGCAAACTGGCTCCTGGGTGGGCAATCCTCCACTCTGTGTGCTCCAATATTAGGCTCCTGTGGAACTGCCCAGCATAAGTTTGGTCTACCTGAGCTCAAATAAACAATGCCACTTTCCACAAATTTGTGTTCATGATGTAGGTGCTAGATAGTTGTAACCTAAACATTAGTCTCTTAGTTGTGATCAAGAACTGTTAAATATTTCCTGACCTTTTTTTTTGTTTTGCTTACATGATATATATTTCAATGGTTACTTTTATATGTATTAATAAAATAAATTGAAAGACTACAGTAGCAGCTATCAACCAGTGATATTTCAAAGGAAAGAGCCAAATAATAATCTGTGTGACATGATTTTACTAATACCTCAAATTATACCAAGTTCTTTCATGTGACTGCTCCTTTTCTCCTTCTCTGCCTTCATTTTCACCTGCTCCTACTTAACACTGTCCTACCTTTCCTTCTTTATGGAATTATGTGTTTCCTATGCTTTTCCCATCCTTCCTGTTCCTCTTTTTACTTCTACTTTCCCACTTAATTTTTTTACTCTTCGGAAATCTCTCTCTCTCWCACACACACACAGAGTTTTACACATTTAATCTTTCCTTACCGGGATGAAGACGTAGGCTCAGTAGTTTGTCTTTGCACACGTGCATGTTTAATTAAATGTTCTTTTAAAGCAGTTTGGACTTCTGCTGGGATATCAGGGGAAGTGTGGCTGATTTTTATTGCAGGCTCAATAGCTTTTAGTGCTGGCTTTCCATTTTCTTTAACCTCTTTTTTCTCTTCTGTCTCAAAAACTTCAGTAGGAGCATTTGAAATGCTCTGTGGAAGGGTACTGACATTGGGGGTCACAGGTTTGCTTTTCCAGCATGGCCAGCACAACTTCCAGAAGACAAAAAGTGAGACAACTAGCAAGGCCAGGCCACAGAAGCTGACAACAACTGCTAACAGGCTGACTGAAATATCTGGAAAAAAATGACAACATAAAGAAATACTAATGAATCTTGTACATAAAGAGGCAGACATGGTGAGATCATAATAGATATTTGAAAAGTTTCATCCCAGTTATATAAGGAAAAGCATAACATATGTATATCATTTAAAAAAATACAAGGGATTCAGGAGTTGTCAAAAAAAAAAAAAAGATTGACAATTTGCAACCAACTATGTAACTGCAACATTAAACTCTAAAGGTGCAACAACAGGAAATGCTTCTGTTTGCTTCATCTTTGATTTCAAGATGAACCCTCTCATTCTTTGTGCAGAAAATAATCTTAAATATCAGTGTAAGCATTTACATGACTAATTATGAATGGGTTACATTATTAGTTGTATTTTCAACTCCATAAATCCTTTATGATAACTTTGTTCCTAAATTTTTCACTTTCCTAAGATAACCAATTGTGGGAGATCAACCTTGCACATGACTGAGTCACACTCCCTGGCTGTGTGCTGAGGCACTCAGTCGCAGAAAAGTGGCAGAGCTTTCCCCATCCTTCTTGGGTTCCAGGATCAGTGTCTTGTGCATGGGTGTGTCTTGCTACAGGCCCATGGGTGAAGCTATGCTCACCTGTTCCTTTGTAGTATAACCCTTTGCCTGTTTAGGATAGAATCTTCCATGGAAGTGCCTTCTGTATGTCCCCTTCTCTCACTATGCTCTTGGGTGTGGCCTACCCAGGTGTCAGTCAACCTGCTGACAGTGGACATCATGAAGACAGACTCAGCCCCCTGAAACCTGACCCCTTGCTTTATTTGAATAGCTTCTCCTCAATAAAAGGGGTCAGCATGTGCTCTCTCTCTCTCTCTCTCTTCCTGTAGACCCTTAAGGTCGGAGGAGCCATCACAGTGACCCCAAAGAAAAAGGTATTTGTGTCTCTGTGTGGTTATTTTGTACAGCCCAGTCAGCTCAGTTTACCTGGAGTGACCCCTGGGCCTTTTAGTCGCTAACAGAAACCTGGCAACCAATGTTAGCAACCTGATTATACAGTATTCTTATAACTTTGAAAATCAAATAGATTTCCTATGAAGGATTTTTTGTTGTTGTTGTTAGATTTGAGTAACCTTTCTTCACAACTTTGTTTGGACTCAACATCAAATATGAATCCAATCTCTTTTGTTTATTTTAAATTAAAATGTTAGGAATATATTATAGGCTGAATAGTGTCTGTCTCCTCTCTCTCTCTCTCTCTCTTTTTTTTTTTTTTTWCCACAAGAAATTCTTTATTCTAGATAGAAGGAGCACAAGTTTTAACTTGAAGGTGACCAGTAACCTCAGGGTTTAAGGCACAGCAATTAATGATATTTAGCTTGAAGTTAAAGCTAGGGCTGGAAAAATATAAATAAATATTGGGAGTAGAAAAATGAGGTCTGAGTACAAGCATTAAAAGATTATACAGACATACTCAGCTTAGAGAGTAAAGCATGCATTCTTGACAATAAAATTAACTGCTAGTGACATGACAACCAGAGGAAGTATACYAGGGCTTTAGGAAGTTATAGCAAGATAGAGAATAACTCCTCTCTAAATTTGTATCTTGAAGTCCTAAACCTCGGTAACTCAGAATACAACTGTATTTGGAGATAGGGCCCTTTGATTAGTAATAAAGGTAAAATGAGGTCATAGGAGTTGGCTCTAATTCAATGAAACTGCTGTGTTCTATAAGAGGAGGAGGTTAGGGATAACACATGGAGGGAAAACCATCTGAAGACACAGGGAGAATGATGGTCATCTACAAGCCAAGGAAGGGCCTTAGTGGAGTTCAACTTTACCATCCCTTCTATCCTCAAGTACAAGGAGGGAGTAAGTTTTCATTATCTCCAGTTTGGAGTATTTTGGTATGGCAGCTAGTAAACTAAATACAGAATAGCTTCTAATTTCCTTTAAACATGACTAAGTCTAAGAGATTCCATCCCTCCCTAGAGGTAAGTACTGATACCAAGTAAGTGTGCCTGTCCAGGCCCAATAATAACAAACAAAATCTCTCTTATAAAATAATAAGTATATACAATTATATAATGTTATCCTTCTTTTTTAAAACATAAATAGCTTACTATGTGTTTATTCTTTAATTTGCTTTACGTTTTATTCACCAATATTTGAGGTCAAACTTCATCTGATATATAACATTCCGTAACAATTAGTCATGATGGATATTTATGTTCCAATGTTTCATAGTGCAATGCAGCTACAGTGAGCATCCTTGTGTCTCCCTTTCTTCTTGTGCATATATTTGTGAATGTCCTTCTGAAGTAAATATTTTGAAACAGAATTGGTGGGTCATTTGTTATGCAGTATATAATTTTTGTATATCTATTTTCAAAACGAGTACAACAGTTGCTGTCACAAAAACAACAGAAAAGTTTACCAGTTCCCACAATTTAACAGGAATATTGTTGTATGTTAGTGTTCACTAACCTCATGAGGAGATGATACCTTGTTTTAATATCCATTTTCTTAATTGGTAAAATAAAATTTGTAGCTAATGGAAATCCATTCAGAAATCGAAACATTTCCAAATTTTTATTGGTACTTAATTATATGAATAAGAATTAATTTTCACATGCTGTGATACACAGACATTAATATTTTTCTTCATTTTCTAGTTACTTACTAAAGTAACTWTTGGCATTTCTCCTTTATATTGCATTGATGAGAAGGATAGGACCACATTTCGTATTTTATAGTTTTTTTTATTACTTATCAGTATAATTTGAGGAAAAGAGAAAAAGTATAAAATGAATGTGCTTCCTGATTAGTACCTATGGTTTAAAAATGGATAAAAAAATGAAATTATGGCTTCTGCTCTGGTTTAAAAGTGTCCCCTCATGTTCATGTGTCAGATTTGTCATCCCTAATGCAACAGCACCTAATAAAGGGGTGATTCATTTACTGAAAGCTCTGCCTTCCTGAGTGGATTATGTTGTTATTCTAATAGTGGGTTAGTTATCAAGASAGTGGCTTGTTACACAAGTGAGCTTAGCCCCTTCTTGGTCTCTGGTTCTCTTGTGCCCTCTTGCCCTGTCACCTTCTGCTATGGGATTACCACAATATGAAAGGCCATACCTGATACTGGATTTCCCTGCYTTATGAACTAAGGGAAATAGATTTATTTTCTTTATAAATTCTTGATCTGTGGTTTTCTGTTATATCAACACTAAAGAGTCTAAGCTTCATAAGTCTTCATGTATTTTCAGCTTTATTTACTTATACTTTTCTGTATATTTTACTTTAAGAAAACCTTCTTGAACAGGTTTTTTTCCTGTGCAGCTGGAGCCAAAACCAAGATGTAGGAAAATTCCAGGACCGCATGGGATGGGGGTGGGGGTGTGAGCAGTTTCACGCCTCTAACTAAAAATGGGCTCATTTTTTTTTCCTCAGGGGATCAGGCTTGAGAGAAACTTATATACTCTTCCCACAAGTGTTTTATAAAATCCCTATATGTCATTGTTCCCAAGAGATGGATTTGGTACTCATACTTTGTCATTCAGGAGAGCTCTGTGGAAATCTTCTGAACCTACTTCCATTTTCCCTACTGCTGATTTTTTTTTTTCTAAAATTGACATCTGGTTCTGTCATTTGGAAGATCATGTAATCTTTCTCCAAAATCAGGATACTTTTGAGTGAATTGTTGTGTTATCAATGAAGCCAGGATAGTGGAAAAAAACAAGTCCCTGTCCTGGCATTTGGAATGTAGAGTCACCTTGCCTCTCTCAGCCTACAATCCTTCCAGGTCTTGCCTGAGCCATCTGGGCCAAATCTAAACTTCCTAAGACATCCCATTAGATCTTGGAGATTTGATCCCTGGCTACCCATCCAACCTCATTCTTCTACATTCCTCTTCTGCCACTTCCCTATCTATATTCCTTATCTGACCACATATTACTTTCTTAGGATTTTTTTTGRGGGGGGTTGGTGCTATTTCATATACTTCTGTGCATTCTTTATCTTACTTGGCCACCTGACAAATCCTTATTTATGCTTCAGCAATAAGATCTAATAGTACTTATTCCTTGTAGCCCTGYCTTTCTCTTCTGTTTTTTAATGGACTTTGAAGCCATACTGACCACTCAACCCCTAGTATTGGGTTCATGGATTGGCCTATAATCCTCTTACCCCACTCTTTGAGCATGAAGCATTTCAAAAATATTATTGTTTTCTTTTSGGTATGATATATATAATATGGCACAAATTATCTAGGGAAAACACTGAAGGCCAAAAAAACCTATTGTCCTAATTAAAAAATTGATGCTGATTCAGGTAAGTTATAGGTGCCAGATTATTTACAATTTACAAAATAWTTTTCAGTTTTCAGAAGTTTTGGGTTTTATAATTGGGGATAAGAGAATTATAAAATTCAGATGTGTTTTTCTTCTCTAAACATTGCCACCCCATCAGTACATTTGTTCCTTGATCCTTCAGAACAGAAATCAAATTTATTCACCTCTTTATGTTTAGTGTCTAGTATGTATCACATGATCAAAAGATGTTGGTGGATCTACTGAACTCATATTTTGGGAGTTATTTGAAAAGGCACATAGCTGTGTAGATTTCTAGGTGTTTGGACTAACTGRAAGTTGGGTGATTTGGAGGGAAGGTACAGAACTCTTCTATCTTATACTGTGTAGGCATTTAGACCTGAGTTCAAATGTCATCTGCAACCCTGTGTGACTTTGAGCAAGTTGTTTAGGTCTTCAGAACCTTGGTGTAAAATAAGGGTAGTTGTATTTTTTTCATACGAATGTTGTGATGTTTCAATAAGGAAAGGTATGTAAAATTTTGGGYATTGCATATTACTCAAGCATTGAAAATGAAACCAAGTGTTTAATGCTCAGGTCTTTATGAGTTAATTTTTTTCCAACAAGCTACGTTCCACAAAGTGAAAGAAAAATCAAAAGATTGAGGATTTAGGAGAATTTATAAAGTCATCAAAAATTTTAAATGGCATTTTTATGACTATGATTCAAC